ATGTAGTTTTCTCTAACCTCCTGTCACTTCATTTCTCTTCAGTCCAAATATTCTCAACACCCTCAGTCTGTGTTACTCCCTTAATGTCAGTGACCAAGTTTCACACCCATACAACACAACAGGCAAAATTATAGCTTTGTATATTCTGATTTTTATGTTTTTAGACATCAGACGATAAGACAAAAGGTTCTGGACAGAATGAAAACAAGCACTACTTGAATTCAGTCTCCTCTTAATTTCCTCCTAAATTAGGTTTTGATTTGTTATGGTTGTTCCAAAAAATCTGAATTGTGCATGTTTTCAAAACGTCTGTTAGCTTTATTTATGTCACGATTTTGCCCTGCATTCTGGTGACAAGACAGCAACATATACTTAGTTTTTCTCTGTGTTTACTTCTAGACCAACCTCCTTACAAGCATCAAAGTTTATTATAATTATAATAACAGTTGCCCAAAATAAGATTCCATGAAAGTTAGTGCAGTCCTAAAGTATCTTCATTAGTACAGAAGGACAAGCAGGGGAACAAAAGTAACTTAATCAGCACAATGCAAGTTTGTGACCATGCCTAAATGATAAACCCTCCTGCCAATTTAGTTTGCTATTGCGGACCTAAAAGAGAAAACCACGAGATATACAAAGTTTTCTCTGTACTTCTGCCAATATGTAGGATAGCCAAGGCTGATATGAAATGTGCAGGTACTATGGTACTGTGTCATTGGAATCCTTATTCACAGTCCTTTAATTACATGAGTAATATTTAATCTGAATGTGGGTGTTATTCTCTCTTCAGTGTTTAGCCATGGCACATAATATTTTGTGATGCTGACAGGAAGAATGGGTACAGGAGATGACAAAAAGGGAATCCAGTGCCTAGGTGTATAGCTTCACTACCCTGTTCCCGGGGGGATATACATATGGGGTCCTGGCTCTCCAGGTTGGGGGAGTCTTGAATCTGAGACAGTAAAATGATCATGAGTCGCACAGGACTCTGACCTGAGAATGAATGCACTGGTGAGGGCCAGTAGCAATTGTAAACAGCGACCTGTCCTCTTGTCAGAGAGGGTGCCCCACATCAACAATCCCACAACTGTCTTAACAGTAACAAAAATCTGGTCTTGGACCCCAGATGTGGACTTGACACCAAGCCAGACTGGCTGACTGACCATCATTTGGAACATAACTTTGACTTTAACTTGAGTGGCACAGCAATTGTAGTGCCTACACAGAAAGAACAACCCTTCCCCTTGTCAAAGAGAAGGCCCCACTTCTGAACACATACATGTCCAGGAGGAAACAAAAATCTTGCTCATGAATCTCAAGGAGATTTGAAGCCAGGAAAGACAGTGCTGGCAAGGTACAGCGGCAACTTAATCAACTGACTGAGTCAGTTCGTCGTAGCAGAGTACACAGTTGGAGCAATGAGTTGCAAGCCAACTGCCATGCGGTGAAGATGTGAGCATTGAAGCAGAACATCTGTGAGACATGTAGCAAAGACTGTTACCAAGCAATGACTGGTTACGGCATAGCAAACTGGGAAGTCTTGGCATCAGCCATAATGAATTGTTGAATACACAGATCACTGAGAGTGTTACAATTATTTGTAATTATATGAGTTCAATATACCCAATTGCCAATATGAAACCAATGTCTTAGCCACTAAGACATGACAGTATATACACACCTGCATATGTAGACTAGAAACAAATTATAACTGTATGTGTTTTAGTATTTAAGTTTGTCGTTAACAAGAAGACAACAGATTTTGAACTTGATAGCCAGCATTCCCAAAATTTTTTTTCTGCCTTGTTTCTTCATACATGCAATGTTGATGCATAAGCACTGCTCACAAAAATTTTCACCTTGTCACGCGATATAAAATTAATGGGATGTTGTTTCCAGTACTAAGAATGTCAGTCCTATGGAACAGTATATATTCTTGGGTTCTTAAAGAATTATGGCATTACTCGTTCATTCTTGGTGTACTTGCAGTGCTTCCGATCAGCCAGACAATGTGGGGTGGAAGGATGGCAGAAGGTGCACAGAGAGGTAGTCGTGGCTTAATTTGAGGTACTAACCTGGCTTTCATATATAGATACTGAGGAAAACCACAATAAATATGCAGTCAAGATAGCTGATATATGGATCGAGATTTGAACCAAGTACCTCCAGGCTAGGAAGCAGAAATGCTGACTATTCATCTGCCACAACTCATAGGAACTTGGTGAAGGAGCAAATGAGCTGCAAGACTGTTTTCACAGTTGTAAAGAGGTCCATTTTCATTCTGAGTTTTCCCCCCCCCCCATTATGATGCGGGGTGCTCTATGGCATCTTTAGATGACAGAAGAGTAGGAGGTTGGTGTGAGATGGTCATCAGCCTGCAAGGACATGATCCCAGGAGCTGAGGACCATCCACTGTCGGTGGATGTTACTAAGCAGCGCAGTGAAGACCATGAAAAAGTACAATACTCTGTTTGATTGTGAGTTGGAAAGCATAGTCATGAATTGTGTTAGGTTCCAATAAATCCAAATTCCATCTTTAATTTTTACATTTGTAGTCTGGGAAACAACGTCTGAACTGGATGGTAAGAAGTATCCCCAAAGTTTAACTGTTATTAATTCTAAGATTATGGCTGCCTTTGATATGACAGCATGTACAAAGTTCCAGAGGGCCATGTTGCCTCCGTCTTCAGGGTAAAAGAATGTTCTCATTTCCTCATTAATGTACATCTAATTTCTTTCCTCTGTACTCTACTGGGCATATTTGAACTTTCTTACATGTATGTTTGAAGGTGTTTGTTATGATTTTGTTCAACAATTTGATGACCCAATAGTCATGTTTACTTTTCTTCCTGTTTACTGAAGGAACACCTTAATTAAGGGGTTCTGTCTTCTGGATACGCCGTATAGTCCTTTGGAAGTCAACTGATGTTTGGGAGGCAGATATAGCCACTATGTTCCAGATCAAATAAGACGAGCAAGATACCAGTTTTAAAGCAAGTGGGCTGTTTCCTTTTAACGGACTACATGGCATTATATCCATGTAGATCAGTGGTTCTCAAACAGTGGGGCGCGACCCCCAGGGGGGGGGGCAAGAGCTTCAAAGGGGGGCACAGCATACTTTCCTACAGATAAAAATTAAAACTGCCCTTAATCGATTGGAAAAGTAACAAAAAATAAAAATACATATAGAAAAACTTTTGATGAGTACAGGCTTTAATTATCATGAATTTCAAAATAACTAATAATTATTCTCTTTACCGGCAATTATAAAACGCGTATGCCAGAGACAGCGCTGATAGTTCAGCAGCAGCCGTATCCTCTGAAATTCTCTGAAGTCTACACTTTTTAAAGTGCTGTGTGAGAAAATGGGTGCCGAACACACTGCTGTTGTTTTTAGTGATGCTCGATGGCTTTCAAGAGGCTAGGTATTAAAGAGAATGTTTCAGCTGAGGCATGAGGTGTTCTGTTTTTTTAAATGGGGAAAATCACTCACTGGCAGACAGTTTCAACAACAAGGATTTTTTTATTGAAAATGGCTTACTTCACAGATATATTTGAGAAACTAAATATCCTCAACACTTCACTTCAAGGGAATGAGGCAACTGTACTTTCTTGGAATAACAAAGTGAAGGCATTCATGAGAAAATTAGAGCTCTGGAGAAACAGTATGGAAAGTGACACGCTAGACATGTCCCCTATTCTAGTGTCAATGGTACAAGACACTCATAATCCAGTGCTTCCAATGGACATAAAAAGCTGCCTACTTGATCATCTCATAATGTTGAAAGTTCATTTCGAAAAATACTTTTGCAATGATTTTGATAAATTTAATTGGATTTAAAATCCATTCGAAAATGCTCCTGGGCCATGATCTCTGAAGGTAAATGAGCAAGAACAACTCATCGATCTCACTAGTGATACTTCATTAAAAAGTAAATTTAAGAAATTGTCTTTGTTGGAGTTCTGGATACATATTGGCAATGAATTCCCAACTTTGAGCCAAAAAGCATTGAAGATACTGATTCCTTTCGCAACAACTTACTTATGCGAGACAGGCTTTTCTGCTTTGGTAGCTATAAAGTCAAAGTATCGTTCAAGGCTAAATATTGCTAAAGAAGTTAGAGTGGCCATTTCTGATATTACACTAAGTTTTGATCAACTTTGTTCTCAAAAGCAGGCCCATCCATCACACTGAAGTTTGACATTTAAATGTTTGATTCTCTTTGCAGAAAAAATTAAATAGTTGTTAGTTAAATATCGTTTCATTTCAATACATATTTTGGTTAATTGGAAGTGTTAAAACTAATTTTTATTGTAGGCCTAATATTGTGATACTTTAATTTTGAGTAAAAAACTGCTATATAGTATGTAGAAAAAAACAAAATAAACGAATAAAACGTCAAACATACCATGACTTCCATTTTTATAAAAAAAAAACAGGCTGTGGTACTGAGAGCATTTTCTCTTGTCGGGGGGGGGGCTCAGAGGTAAAAAGCGTAAAAAGTTTGAGAACCAGTGATGTAGATAATACTCTTCATAACCACCACAATGCGAACCTCCAATTTTATAGCCTTAAATAAGAGTTTTGCACTTTTCTTTTATTTATATTTTCGCGCAACAAATTAATATCATCAGCATTAACTGGAAGTTAATATACTGCTTTCAATTAAATACAGATTGACGCATTAATTTCGCACATTAAACTGATACTTCCTGTCGCAGTCCATGCCTCTTGACGCTCTTGAATCTCCAACAGCTTGTCGCAATATCAGGTATACCAATGTCTGAGATTAGAATTGAATCGCATGTATAATTGTAATCAGCATTTAGTAAAATTAATTAAGGAAATAAACATATATATTATTGCTCCATTATATGAAATATGTTTTAGAGTTACGAATTATCACGTTTGAATTAAGCTATCGTGCACTCTGTAGTTGATTTTTTAAACATATTATTACTGAAAAGTTGGCTGTAATATTGGCGCGAAATGTGACAACTCTATTGTCTCGCTCGGAGTTATAGGTGAAGATATTATGAAAGCTTGACGTTAAGTGATAAACCTTTAAAACATGTCAGTGGTATGCAGTATGGATGAAGGTAATGATTCAGATAAGTAAAAGCAGAAAAATTATCCATTGAACAGCTACTATTGTGAATATGATTAGTGTTGAGTTTCCAGACGTTGAACTTAATTTTGGCTTTTTCAGAACCTTCAACGTAAGTATATTTTATATTTGTGTGTCTTTAAGGTGATGCGATTATAAAACTGAAGGATTATAATGGAAACCTCCCACATTCCATAATAACTCGAGAGATGGAGGAAGTGGAAGAAAAGCTTGAGAAAATGACAGCTGAAGAAGAAGAAAGACGTAGGAAGGAAATGGAAGTAAGTTTTAACCGCAATATGTGGGAACTGTGACAACACGTTAAGTCATTCGTAAGCTTCCATGGAACCATAAATTTGACTCGTACTACAGTCTTTGAGTCTTTTGTAATAACACTGCCATTAACTTTTATGGTTGTGTGAACAATATTTCAAATCTTATTCCCCCTTGCCGACGTACGTTGTTCATGTAATGTGTTCAAGTGACAGCCTCGTCCAATAGCTAGTGTCTGTTTTCAGTTGGAAAAAGTTTTAATTTTAGATTAAGGAAGTTGTGGGATGAATTTTAAGTGTTTTTTGTATGATTGCTGCAGAATGATAATCACATGTATGATGAGCTTGTCATTCAGTGTAACATATTCTGTGACAAGCACATTCACATTTTTATACAAGGTACTAATAATCTTTAAGGTTACTCATTTTGACTTTGTATGTCATCCTAATTCTTTTATTAACTTCAGCATTTTGAAAATCGGTTTTCTGAACTAAGTCAAATCTGTTTTGGCAGACCTTGCAGTTGGTGTCTTTAGGGTTGATATATTTGGGAGGGGTTTGGAAACTGTTACATAGTTCTCACATTGATCTCTATGCTGGAGTTAAAGCCATGATAGGCTGAGCAGAGAAGTGGGATACTAATCAATAGGAGCAGCCATGTTGTTAGTAAGTAGAGTTGATGAGTATTTCAGCAGCCATAAGGGTAATGTTGGCTGGTGTGAGACCTAAATAAAAGCTACCACACACCACCAGAACTCATTAACATACATTGATTAATAGTAATATAGACTTGGTGCAGACCACACAGAAAACATCTCTTCCTCTTGTTGTGTGTGTATCTGTTACCACGGGAACGTGTTTATTGTACAGTTCCCTAGCAGTGGCCATCTCTTCTGGCTCCACAGTTGGGAGTAATAGTACCAGAGACTTGTCACAGACCACACAGAAAACACCTCTTCCTATTGTTGAGTGTATATTTATTACTATGAAAACATATTTACGGTCCAGTTCTCTAGCAGCAACCATCTCTTCTGGCTCCACAATTCTGGTTATGAATAGATGTGTTGCATAGTACTCTTAAAAGCCTAGAGATGAGGCGGAAGGTAATGGGAAAGAATCAGTCTTTAAAGACAGAATTACTGTTATGAATTAACTAATTATGTTACATTCTTTGGACGTGGTTTGCCATTTCCTCTGTGACATGTGATCAAATGAGATTGTTCACACTCCAAAATCCAACCTGCAAACACAGAATGAGAAAATAGTTGCCAAGTAAAATTTTGAGATGCCCCTGGCAACAAGACTGCTATACTCTTCTGTCCATACTCCGTTTCATAGACTTGTATTTGCAGTGAGGATATTGGTACACTTTATGTGGTTTTCAGTGCTGGAAAATTCAGTTTGTATTGTTTTCTTTTCAATAGAAGGAAGAAAATGAACTGAAAGAACAGCGATATAAGCGACTGACGCATTTGTTAACCCGAAGTCAGTTCTACACAGAGTTTATGGTAAAGAAGTTGGATTCACATAAATCACAATTGACAAAGAAATCGTAAGGGCAATTTCATTTGCTATTTATAAGTAATGCTTATCTTAATTTTGAGGAACTATAAGTAAATAAGTAAAAGCGTTGCAGTAGTGACTGTTAACAGTAACTTCGGTGCCATATTTGTCTGCGTACAGTGAGTTCTAGACATCACTCCTGGTGATTGAACAGGAGAATTATCCAAGATATAATAACAGTGGTACAATTAGAGGCTGTGTGTATGCAGCTCATGTTTGTAGTAATAAAAGACATAATATTAGAGAAGAAATGTGACACTAGCCATATGAACTGGATATGCTGAAAAATTTGACTCTAACATTAGATATACCAAATGTATGAACACAGGCGCAGTTCCAGTGACCATATATAACTAAATATAGTTTCTAATTTTGTATTCATATTTTTAAAAATTTAAAATTTTAAATTTCCTTATAAACTTCAGTAAGTGTGTGTGTGAGTGAGTGAGAATGACGGCAGTTCGGTTGAAATATGTATATATGGCCTGGTGATGACAGAAAGGTTGAAATGTTTAGCCAATTTAATGACAGTACACTGTGTGCCGAAGAGCTATGTATGAACATTCAGTGTGTTACGTGGTTCAGTATATGTGATGTTGAGATGTGCTAAGCAGTAAATACCTGTATGTTCCTAGATTAGAGTATTATTTATACTATACATTGTGAGACATGGTATACTGTTGCCCTTAAATGGAATTATTTGTTTATTAACTGATAGGAGAAGGTTGAGGAGCCCTGGTTATATGAGTATCCTTACATATCAAGCATGAGCATAGTGACTGCATGTGCATTGGCCACAGTTTAATGTTAGAATAAAAAGACACCATGAAATGTAGTCAGATCATCCCCCAAATACAGAGGTTAACATTAAAAAAGTAGCACTTTTATTTTTAGCCCTTTGAATGCTATGCATGAAAAATACATCATAAACTTGATTTGTTTGGTGTAAATCTCAGAAAGAAGCAGTCCCACCACTTCCTAACAGATGTGTCTAGCTAATAGATTTGAAAGGGTTCAGACAAAGACAAATATGTAACTCTCAGGACTACTGCGTTTTTCTACTTGGTCCATTGTCCAGCACCCCAAAGAATGCCAAAGAACACAATGTTTCAGAAGCCAGATCTGTTTCCTTCCTGAAGGGAGGGGGTGGGAAACACCTACTCTGTTAGATCATTAGAAAAAGCTAACCTCAATCAGTGAACCTCACTGGTTGTCCAGTGATAGAGGTTACCTCTTTCTAGAGACCCAGCAGTAACTCTGATACATCTAGCTGTTCATAGCTTACCAGTAGTAAAAATTATGTATTATGGAAATACACAACAGAAGAAGGTTCATGCATAGAAATGATTAACTGAGAAATTCATAACATTTTCAAATTGTGGAGTGCCCCTTGCAAACTTTTGTTTTTGCATATTCCAGTTATATTGTATGATGGAAGTTAAACTGTAGTTTAATATTTGCCTTTGTAGTATCTGGCGTCCTGAAGTGGAATCATCGAGTGAAGAAGTAAATGTTGGAATAAATGGTAGCAACACTAATACACACCATCTGCATGAACGCAATGAAAACAGTTCATCACAGACTTCAGGTGGTGGGTCTTCAGTCAGAAAAGATGCCACCAGGGCAAAAGGTTCACAGAATGTTGCAAGAACTAAGCGGAAACTCGACACATACAACATTGCAGACATAATAGACTCTGAGGTATGATATAACTACAGTAAACCCCTTGTTATAACAGACAGGGTGTCCATTATCACTAATGTCTGCTATAACCGAGCGAAGGGGTATTCACAGAAGTACACCGTAGGATACATAGCCAATACATACTGTGACATGTTGCGCAGCGGAGGACTCCTACCTCCCCAGCAGTACATGGCGGCAACGTAGCTCTCTCATTACTATGGTAATGGGCGAGTCATCACCCCACCACTCTCCCCATGGTGACGTAACACGCAACGCGTGGTGACGTAACGCGGCGCGAGTAAACAGCGTTGCTAGGCTATACGCAAACACGGCGACGTGTCACTGGTTCCTACTGTGACAAATTAATTGTAGCCAAGATTTGTAGGTTGTTAAGTAAACCAATTAACGATCTCTACGGCGTATTCAGTAATGAAACACGTTACAATACAATAAACATAAGATATACAGTGTGATTACATAAAGATATTTATATTGGGATTCTTTTTTATTTTAAATAGTTTTCTAACTACAGAACATTTGTAGTGCCTACCAGCATCTCTAAAAATTCACAAATGTACACAGCCAGATTTTGTCTGTTATATCGGGATCCACTATAACGGGTTTACTGTGCCATGAAAACAATGTCAGGAAAAACCTCGACATATGAAGGGTACTTTGAATGTGATTGTTGCTGTTATCATCATTGTTGTGGCGGTGGCAGAGGTGGGAGCTGTGGTATATATGCATATGCACATGTGCCTGATTCTTAACATATTGTCATGTGTTGAGTATGTAACGTGACAAATAACTTCACGCTGTCTTGGATATAGTGAATTTATTCCATATTTGCTCTTACAATTACACAATTCGCAGTTTCACAACTACTGCCATCTGCAGTATCACAATTACTTCTCCTGCTGGAGTCCCTGTCATGCACTTGATACAACTCAACTCGGCGACTGGACTTCAATTCATACTGGACACTGAATACTAGTAACTCTCTCTCCAGTCACTCAGTACTCACTACTACTGAATAGTGTTCGCTGCTCCTTATTTAGGCTCAGCACGGACAACATAGAGAACACACCGCTGCTCGGCAACAGATATCAGGTATTGTTGTCAGGTGTTTCTACCTACGCATTGCCTAGCAATAGTTGCTGCATGGACTCGCCTGTTGCGTGACGTCACAGCCTAGTGGGGAGGGGTGTTTACCGAGTGTTGCGTAATGATGGAAGGAGTGGGGGTATGTGACATCACTCGCGAGAACGCAGAGTTCACATGACCCCTACTTCCTGTTACACCATCCACGTCACACTATTAATGGATTATGTTCTCAGGCTACATTCTTAAGGCAAGTTGTTCTTAAACCAAAATATACTTTCTCCCCATAAGAAATTATATCGTCTGTGACTATAGACAGGGTTGGATTCGTGAATAGATTTACTGACCCCTTATACACATGACTCGTAACTACAAGTAATTATAACACTATCACTAATCCACACAATTTAGTAATCACTAGAGCATGCGTTAATGTTCTCAGTTTGCTTTCGTTAGTCACTTCCTGGTAATGTATCTTAAAAATGGAAGTTCTTCAGCTTTTGTGCTTGCTTCATTACTGTCCGGCAGATATCCCACAACTTAACTGACTTTGTCCCATGCTTTATAATATCTCAGCATGGACCATGCAGAAACACCCCATTTCCATTGTTACCATCCAACTGTTGCATTGTTAAGAATCTGCTGCCTAACAGTGGGAACGCATTTACTGAGCCGTTGCCCAGAAATGGGTCTGGTGTATTTGTCCATCTCGTGGTCATTACATAGCAGCAGCTCTACATGCCGCAATATAACCAGCAGTAGTTGAGAACCTGAGCTTATGAACAAAGCCCATTTAACCTATAATATTGTGTGTAGTTGCCTTATAAATGAATATTAAAGGGCACATTGCACATCTACAGACACATAATTAAGAGTAAACAAAACGAGTAAGAATAAAACTGAACAGCTTTAATGTTTGTATGTCAAGGACCAGGTGTATGTAAAATACACGTATCATCAATGTCCTTTCCATTACTAGGCCTGCTGAGACATGCTACAGGTATTACAGAATATAATCCATCATCTTAGAGTTCTTCCCACACTTCCTCTTTTCCAGTGCAAGAAAGGATGGTAATGGTGAAGAAGAAGGTGAAATGTTTCATACAGACTCTGCAGGAGATCTCACTTGTGGATTATTTCTTATTCTTTCTCATTCAGTAAAACTAAATATTCTCACAAATGCTACTGTTGAAATAATATGGCCACCACCTCCTTAGTACCAGAAGATTTAAAATCCCATCCCTGAAGTAAAGTGGCCAGGGATGAGGCTGACCACTCAGCTCAAACTAGTGCTGAGGTTAAGAAAATCTGGACCGATACATCCACTCCCCCACATGTCTTCATGGCATAGTGCTTAGTTAGGTAAGCACAGGGGTAAATTTCCCTTACCTGGAAAATAAGTTGCAACCACGAAATGAAAGTCTGGCTGCCAGTACCTGGAGACTTAAAATCCACTGTTCCTTGATAATATAAGGGAATGACATAATATGAATGGGAAATATGAAAAGCATGCTGTTTGCTTCTCAAAATGTTGAAATTTACCTTCATTAGCAATATCTTTTCCTTCCTTTATTTATTTATCTTCCCCCCCTGGTGTTGTAAGCTGCTGTGATTGTGAAACGTTCGACTTTATGCGTACTGTGCATTATAGGATATAAGTGTATGTATTTTAAATCAAAACACCTATTGTGATGGTAGTTTCCAGTTTGTAATGATGTTACCTCTGAAGATGGCCCGTAAGGACCGAAACATATAAGGGAGATAAGTTTTAACGCAGTGAAAACTTATATGTCACATTGGACGGGGTGGTTTGTATTTATAATTGTTAGTATGACGGACCAGAATGAAACAAATCAAATATATTACCAGACTTCACAATGTTGCATTCCAGAAGAAAGTAATATTCATAAACACCACAGTGATAACCTTAAATCAAGCCTCTTTTTCTCTCATCACCCATGCATGAAAGATTATAGAAAGTTCTGGTGGGGGTGGAATCAGCTCAGAGGACACTTATGCCTGTATTCAATTATTTGACAGACCATCAGTGGGATTGGTAAGAAGGCAAGATTGGATGCTGCAGCAAAATTGTTGCCACCAGAGAAGGAGAACCGCAAGCAACAAGAACAGGTTGCAGGGACCAGAGAAACAGCGTATGGATTTGTGGTGTCTGAACGCCAGCCTCTCCTGTTTGAGGGAGGAGCCTTAAGACCATATCAGCTTGATGGACTAGACTGGCTCAAGGTACTGTGTGCATATAAGTCATACTTTTTACTGGAGATTTTCTATTTGAAAGTATGACATGATCTACACGCAGACCAGTATATGAGGTCTGAGATTCTGATGGCAATGACTATCAAGACAGGATATTGCTCTCTTCTGGGGTGTGATGTCACGTCATCCAGTGGAAAATTACTAGTGTTTTGGGAGTAACCTGATCTCTTCATCTCATAGCAGGTCTCTGGAACATTAGTAATTTTTTACAAGACTGCATTGAGTCATGTCCCAGTATTTATTTATTTATTCACTTCACATCCATGGATCATTATACATGACATAGGACAAGTCAAAACACTCTATAATCCAATACAACGATACAATAAGACAATACAATGATACAATAATAGAATAATAAGAAGAACAATATAATTTTATACTAATATAATAATTAAATGATGAGCACTATATTTATCAGTCACAACACATCAAATTTGAGAATAGATTAACAACATGTTTCGGCTATTTAGCCTATTTAACCTATTTGGCAGGGGAAACCGAAGTACTCAGAGGAAACCTGCCCCAGGGCCAGTTTGTTATCACAAATCCCACTTGTTCAAATCACAGTGGTGGGAAGCCAGTGACTAATCACTTAAGCTCTGGCGCAGCCTATAAATTGATGTTGGAGAGTATGGTCATCTGTCGTTATCCGAGTAGTTCCAGCCAACACCTCCTGCTATCCTGTTCTCTGCAAGAGTAAAAAACAAAACAGAGCAGAAGGTATTCCCACATATATTTTACTGTAAAGATAAGTCATTTATTCATTAAGTATATGATAACTAGTAATTATGATTTGATTTATCCCCAACCACGAAAAAGTTTTCTACCCTGTAAAAACAATGATCCAGCAAGAATGTTTTCAGAGTCTTTTTGAATTTATGTAGTACTGGTATCTCTTTAATATATTGTGGTAACTGATTAAACATCTGACATCCTATATTACTAAAGTTGTTTTTGCATAAACTTGTATTACATATTACTGTATATATGTTATCCTTTCTCCTTGTATTGTATGAGTGTATTTCGGAATTGATTGAGTAAGCACTTAAATTTGCCTTTATATAACCTTCATAATCACTGCCATTAGGGCGTCATGTCATGCACTGGGATTACAGTGTTCTGAGAGATGATACTGTGTATTGTGGTAGAGAGGTACTATAATTTCTGTACATACATCTTCAGTTTTCATGCAGAAGAAGCTTATGCTCTGAAGATGGAGAGAGCCACTGCTTCTGAAACATTGGTATCTCTATATCAGACTGCACAGGATCATGTTGCAGATGGTAAAAAGGTAAAGCTAACCCTGTAACAGGCTGTGGAGACCCATGGGGTTGTGAGACATTGAGGGTCCCACATTTTCTAGACATTTGGCTTACAGATGGCTGTAAGGTTCTCAGCTTTACACACTGAGCATTCTTTACCCCCAGGAAGAGTCCTGATACTCATTTCTGTTAGAGGCTTAGTCAACCCCAGGGTCATAGTGAGGTTGGAAGGATTAAGCCAATTGAAAAATAAAATGCCACATCAGGAATTGAACCTGCAACCTTCTGGCTTGTAGCATAGTGCCTCAACCAACTACGCTACCACATGCCCCCATGTTCCAGATGGTTGTAATATTAATTATACACAGATTGAACTATTCTGAATGAGTATGCTGGAAAGACGACTTATGCCCTTTTCCAGTTGACCATTATATTACCCACTAGCCTGTAGTATCACACGCATTGTGTAAACAGTTGCAAAAATAGAGAAGTCAGATGCATTTCATTGGAATGAAAATTTGAAGAAGTGTTAATATAATTTAGAGCTCTATATTCTCAATTTTCCCACATTCAGCAGCCTCAAGAATGTTCAGATTTAAGTGCTTTCCTTCAGCTGATAGCACTGTAAGCCATTCATGTTGGGATTCAAGGCCCTGGGGTGTGTTTTAGTGGAAATGGTTATGTACTAGAAGGAAGAAAAGGTAAAAATCTCTTCAGAACAAGTATATTTTATAACTGAAACATGCTTTCACATCATTTTGACAATTTCAGTATGTCTACTAAAGTTAAGGCACAATAGGTCACTGTGGTCGCGGTGCAAGGGCCAAGAAGGCCCACCCCTTGTACATTCATTCATTCATTCATTCATGTCTATTAAAGACTGCTGAAACTTGCCTGAACAGGAAGGAAACTTACCTAGAGAATTCAGGGAGCCACAGGTTTTGAAATTAAAAAAGTTTAGTCATCAACATGACAGTACCTCAACCACAGTGTGGCAAGATAATTATGACATGGTTCTAGCCACATTTTAAATAATGTAATTGATGATAGATATATACAGTTTATGCCAAAAATGCAGTACTGAAACTCGCGCATCTCAAACATGCATGTGCATTTGTCAATGGGGTATATCTCCAGCCACACGTGTTCCCAGTAGTGAAAAGGAAGTTGTGTTGTGCAGTTGTTGGAAATTGGTCTCTCGACAGAGGAAAAAGTGTTCATAGTTGAATCTTATTTCTGCTCATATGGAAGTGGTCCTGAAAGGGGACCGAGTTTGAGAAAGGTGACAGAACAATTCTAAAAGAGATTTAATAAGACGGCACCAAGTAACACAGTTATGCTGTCTATTGTTACGAAATCGCCATTCTGGTAGTGTACTGTGTCAACGAAAAGGGAGGTCTGGTCGACCAGTAACTGTTTTGACAAAAGAGAATCACGCACGTGTTCTTCGGCAGGTGCTGCATTCTCCCCAACGAAGTCTATGATGAACGGCCTTGAAACTGAATGTCAGTGATACATCTGTTCGCCGATTCTTTAAGGACATAGGTGGAATTCTATACCAGATACAGGTTGGACAGTGCTTGACAGGGTCAGATATGCAAGCCAGGATGGTGTATTGTGTAGCATTTTTGGCCATGGTGTACGAGGATCCAGATTTCTTGAGGAATGTGTGGTTCTCCGACGAAAGTCACATTCACTTGGATGGCTACATCAGTCGCCAGAACTCGCTTCCTTGGTTTTGAGCTGCCAGATGTTATCGTCCAGAAACCGCTACACAGTACACGTGTAGGACGGGGCAACCAGCCTTACCGCTCGAGAATCTCTAGCCATGCTGCAGGAAAACTTTCCAGCATGAATCATTTCATGTGGTACTGACTTCCCATACCGCTTCCATTCCCCCGATGTTACACCACCTGATGCCTACTTATGGGGAATGTTAGAGGAGAGTGTGTTCAACTGTGAAGATCCGCCAAGAACTGTACCCCTGATCTTACACCACCTGATGCCTACTTGTGGGGAATGTTAGAGGAGAGTGTGTTCAACTGGGAAGATCTGCCAAGAACTGTGCCTGCATTACGCGAGCAAATCATCTCGTTTTGCAGGAGTCTGCAGCAACCTTTGTTCCAGGATATGATTGAGAAGCTGCATGAACGATATGAACACTGTCTACAGTGAGGTGGTGCACACTTGGAAAACTTATGTTATGCATACCATGGTAAATCAACACACTAATAGTGTGTATGTTAATTTCTTTCAGGAGAAATAAACTTCACAGATGACAACAAGGTAATATTGTTTGTCTTTTCATTTCAATGCTGTATATTTTGGCACATACTGTATGAGAAAATTGGCAGAGATGGCCAGGAAGTGATATGGTTTTCCTGTTGCCTGTGTTTAACTACACAGAACTTACCTTGACATCATGACTTCTCAGCTTGTGGTTTATGTTGAGAATGTTTTCTTGTTGGGTGAAAATAAAAATGATGTGTGGGTTCTTAATGTAGTTTTGTCATTACTCCGATGACAACCCACTTCTTCGGAACAGTTTGTTGGTCCTGAAAAGGACCGTGGTTGCTGAGATGCTTGATCGGAGAGGTAGCACGGCGCGCGCCGGTAAGGAGAGGTTGCGGTGAGTGGCCTGGCCGCAGTGCAGCCGTGGCTGGAGGTTGCTTGGTTGCCGTGCGGCAGCGTGAGTTGGAGGTTGCTTGATCGCAGCGCGGCGGATGCTGGTGAAAGGCTAGTCGTTGAGCGCGGTCGCTGGAGCGGAGAGGCGGTAGCTACGCCAGTCGCCCAGTGTGTCGGGTATGACTACCGGCGAGTCCATGCGGCCTAGTCGCCCAGTGAGTCGGGTGCGACCGGCAGACAGCCGTGGCAGTCATGCCTGGTACAGTGAAGCGCCGATGCCTCCGTAGACCGAGCGCTGGCGACAAAGCCTGCTGGCTGATGTTGCTTGAGTGTGGCTTGATCGTAGACTGGAGTCAAACTGAATGACTCGGCATTGGAGCCACTTATTTTTATACACTGCTCGGTGGGCGGAGCGAAACTTGAAATTGAGGAGGAAGAATTGATTGGCTAGCACGCGTAATGTTGTAGATGCGGGCTAGCAGCAAGCGCAGTATAAATGCGAATGTTTGAAGCAATCTGATTGGTTAGCGCGCGTGATGGTGAAAAGTGAGCATTGCAGAAATGCGTGATAATGTGGGATGTTCCCACAGATGTTAATAAAACACCAGAAATTTTGTTAGATGCTAGTGTGAATGTTGGTTGAGATATAAAATCAGAGAAAGTTAATATTTATTTATGTTTTTGACATTAAAATGCATGACAAAATCATCATATAAAAAGTAAGTGCAAATATGTTGCACATGCCTTCTCATATACAGTAGACTTTGATTATGTTACTGTGGAAACAAAATATATTGATATTTGGTAGGTTAGGGTTGGTTTTGGATTAAACTTACTAGGTCATTTATGCTTTGCATACCAATTCTGTCTGGTTTCAGTCTGGATGAGTCTCCATAAATTACTGAAATTTAATAAGAATTTGCAGCTGTTTTTGAGAAAGTCATGTTTGGAACAGGGGCTTATTTGGAGGGCCTTAATTTTTGGAGCTAGACTGTTCATGTTCCGCAGGTACCGATCTGTGATAGACAAACTCTTAAATACCAGAAATGAATAAAATTGGACCAAACATCTAGGCCCTAGCGAAGGACACATATGTACATACATGTGAACAGGCAGGCAGGCAGGCAGCATTCCAAAAACTACTTTTCTTTTTTATTGTTTTTGTTTTCTTGGATTATGGGTATGATTTGCTTGGCTTCTATTACTTTCAGTTTTATTTCCAGCTGATCATTTTTTTCTCTGCCCACCTTTCCACCAGCTTCTGATGGTTTCTTTCTTGGCCTACTCTTTGACCCTGAAGATTGATTCTGTATATTCTTCTGAAATATCAGACTGTATCCAGACTACGCAGCACATTAATCCTTTGCTAATCCGGATGTTGGATAAAACCAGATCAGCATATGAAAAATGTAAAAGTCTGTTCACAGTTGAATACACAGATTAAAAGACATGGGATTTAGGAGCAAGAGTGCTTTCAGACTGTGTTGAGGGCAGCTGGAGAGACTGAAACCACACAAGAAAATATCCAAGACTGCCTTGAGCTTCATGAAGGAGATCCTTGTTTTCAATTTGTGGCAGAGGAAGAAATTGCTGCAGATGTTAATAAGAATTCTGCTATGGAAGAAGAATCAGATTATGAACTGAATGAACTACAAGACTCTATTCCATTTATATGTTTTCTAAGTTTTTTGTGCATGTCTTTTAAGGCTATCTTTTGCTTAATTAATCTGGATGTCCTCCCCAACCTTTTAATCTGGATTAGTGAGGATTTACTGTATTCTTCATAACCTCCAAAAGAAGTCAGTCACTTGGGCATTTTACTGTTAGAATGAAACAAAAGTACCAAGTCTGTAAAACTTGTGCTATCTGGCCATGTTACATTAAGCTGTGCTTATTCATGATGTTTCAGTTGCTGTACGAGAATGGTGTTAATGGGATCCTGGCAGATGAAATGGGACTTGGAAAGACACTTCAAGTTATTGCGCTTTTCTGTCACTTAATTGAAATGCATGTAACAGGACCATTTCTTGTTGTTGCTCCTCTTTCCACACTCCCTAACTGGATGTTGGAGTTTGAAAGATTTGCTCCTCAGGTATGCCACCTGTTTCATAGAAGTGACTCAGACTGGAAGAGATAGCCTCATGACATGGCCATTAACTGTGACGATACTGAATAGCCAGTCACTTGGCAGCCAGCAAGGGGCATTCTTCTACGTTGGTGTATGGGCAGAAGGGTTAAATAACCCATGAATTTCCTTAGACACTTTTACAAATATATGCTATCATATGGAGTGCTTTAAGTGATAAATATGTCTTGGCATTCTTTTAAAAGTAGAAATGACTAATGCTGCAGCATCATACTCTCAGTTTGCTTCCCCCATTATTAGATAACAGCAGATAAGTAATGATAGGAGAAAGAAATTCATTTGAATGTACTACAGTCATGACGGTTTAACATATTGACTGCTAGTCCGGTCATCATGTGGGTTGAAGCATGCTGTGTCCCACTGCTGATGCCATCTAGTGACAAAACTGTTTGTACTATGTTTGTAAATGCAATTTTCTTCAGCAGATGACACTCAAATACAAGTGAACATTATGTGTAGCATTGGCTGGATGGGCATTGCCTAGGTCTTTTTTTGTATTTGCAACTTCTTTCCTACAATAAAAAAATATATGTAGAATTTTTGAAGATTGAAAGAGTAAAACATGATTCTTGCTTGTTCTGGATTTGTTCTCTCCATTTGTGTTTCTAATGTAATATATTTAAAATCCAGTTTTGATGGGAAAATGGGTGGCGTAGCAGGTAAAGTGACAGTACAGAGCATGGTAATAAATGAGCTAACAGAAGTAACAGTTTGTTAATTAATTATTACTGCTGAGTGTAGGTGATTTTTATGGGATTTTCTGCCTCATTAGACACTGTATAGCAGTATTTATGGTTATGTACACTTACATTTGTATGTGCAAATGTTCACTTGGATGTTCAAACATATAAATTTGGAGAAATAACATTGGCATTTGCTGGGTTCCCTCTGTACACATTTATCTGATTCCAAGATTCTAACTTTTGGGCATTGTGCCTCAATATATACTTAAATGAATACCCTTAAAGTAAATGAAAGAAAATTCTTAGCATCCACAAACATATTAAATATGATGAGAGAAAACTGCTTGTCTTTCATTCTAATTTTTATTTAGGGATTATTATTATTATTATTTTTATTTTGATAATTTGCATTTTATTTAGGATGTCCCAGTCTCAGATCTTTGCCCAAGGATTGTCTTTCCTGAGAGGCTTTTGTGTGTTCTCTTTGTCCCTTCACGCAAATGCTGGGATAGTAAGTCAAATCTTGCCATGACTGCTTCCGTCCATATCGTACAATTAGACATTATGTAATCTGTACTGCTGATAGCATGATCAAGTACACCATGTGTAATTAGAGCACAATAAAACCTTATTCTCATTCTCAATCTGATGTTTTGTTATCAGGTACATGTTCTCCTATTCCATGGGAGTGAAAACCAACGCTCTGAAATGTACCCTCTCCTCTGTAAAAAGAATGAAGTAAATGGAATAGCTGTATGCCCTGTTGTTTTGACATCATTTGAAATTCCGCTGAGAGAAAAGATACTGCAGAGGATCAAGTGGAGCTATGTTGTTGTGGATGAGGGACAGCGGCTCAAGAACTACAAGAGTATGCTGTCAAGGTATCATAAAACCCTGTATAATGCTAAGAAGACTTCTGCCTGTGTGTAGATTATGTAATAATGCTTATCATATATAAGTATGTGTCACAGACCTTCATATTTATGTGTGTATTTTACACAAAATTCATAACATTAGCACATAATAGGAAGGCTGTGTCTGTCTGTCTGTCTGCATATTTTGTCTCCAAGCTTACTTTATAGATTTTTATTAATTTTATTGGACCACCACACTAAGTGTTGGTGGGAAAATTTTGTATTTGTTGTTGTATTTGTATTTGTTTTGATTTTGTTACAGTGGATTGGTTCAGAAATCACAACCAAAAATTTGATTGAAAATCAAAAATAACTGATAGGATTTTACATATGTTTCTCTTCACTTCTTAAAGAAAAGTATTGAGTATGTGTAATCCAGATTTTGGCAATGCGTGTGCAGTGCTGGTGCTTACATGAAAATATGAGTGAAAATGATGGAATTCAATCTTCAAAATAGTGGAAGGATCACATCAGTACAACATTTGTTTTGCAAGATACAGCCATTTGAAAATACAGTTGCTTGTCAGTTGTCATATATGTGTAACTTTTTCTTAAAAGATTTCAAAATTTCTAAAATATATCAGAAAACTTTTGTTCAAGTTCGCTGGCAAGTGGCGGTTGCTTGATCGGTATAGTTCACTTGTGAACTAAAACCATGTAGTTTGTTTTGTTGTTTGTTCTGTTCAAGTATACTGTATATGTTGATCTGTAAGTAAAGTACATGTAAATGTTTATTTTGGGTTTTTTTTAATCAATGGATTGGAACACTATATTGAATAAAATATTAACTTGAGGATATTTAACAGTGAAGTTAGTGCCTGTAAGAAGAAGGAAGTTGAGCATTAAATGTGGAATAACTTTAAATTGAAGAACAGTGACTGGTGGTTCCACAATATTTTGACTTTCATATGGTAAAATTTCTTATGGATATATGTAGCCATTTGTACTGCCCATGGCCATCAACTTGTGGACTTGGCTGAGGAATATCTAATAATTTTGTCCCTCAAGTTGAATGATAATTGTGATTGGTTTAATTTGCTTGTATTTTCCCACATTTATATTCACATATGATTAAAAAATATGAATGAACATTGGTTCAAGCAGATGTATTTTGATACATATGAATACAAACACAGTTACTGTAAAGCTGTAGGTTTTACCGTATACCTTTTGTGAAATAATATTTCCGTGATTGTTAAATTTTTCTCCTTTACAACATTGAATAAGGGCTGTGATTTTTCGCTTGTGCAGGGAGCTGAAGATGTATCACACTGGGAACCGACTGCTGTTGACAGGCACTCCACTTCAGAATAATCTATCTGAACTGTGGTCATTACTTAATTTCTTGCTGCCAGAAATCTTTGATGATCTGGCAGTGTTCGAGGCGTGGTTTGATGTCTCAGAATTGCAGCAGTCTGACAGCAGTGAGAAGATCATTATGCAGGAAGAGCAGAAGAATGTTTTGTCAATAATGCACCAGGTAGGTGAATCAGATCACACGTACCATAACATCTGTTAGAAGTACAACCAGTAACCCACTGTTAACTGATGCTGCCTCCAGGATGTGTTCAGTCCGTATGTCCAAACAGCCATGGGATGTCTCCGAGATGTTATGAAGTTCACTCTTAGATTGTGCTAGTACTCTGTCTTTCCATCCACAGATGGTAGCCTGATGCTGTTTTGCCATGTCCCTTTATGTGCGTATGTGCACATGCTTGCACATTTGTGCAAGTTGGGTGGCCACAGAATGCATTTCATTCAGTGATACACACCAACAAAAGTATAACAATAAGACAACATTATGACAGCAGGGACTTGCTACTATTAAATGTAGCTGCAAGAGCAGGCAGGTGTCATTTGAGGGTTAAGAACAGTAGTACTTTTGTCCCAAGAGACAGTAGATATTAGATGTGTAAAATGTATGATGGTCTATGCTAGGAATAATTGTGGATCATCCACATCTTGATCCCCCCTCCCTCAAATATTAACCATAACCTTAATGTTCTACTGTATTTCAGGCTTGTTTGCATATCAGATTACACTGATCCTGAATACTGTAGGCAGAGTGAAAAAGTTGGTGGTAGTGGTGTTGTAATCAATGCTGTAGGGAAAATCAGGGCCAGGTGTTACACTTAGCATGAATTTTGAGATAATTATCATGAATACTTCATGCCTTTAATTATGCAATAGATAGAATCTGATCTGATCCACAATGCAGTCCACAGTCCCATGCATTATTGGACCCACAATGCAGTCAGCAGTCCCAGAAACCCCAACCAGCTCACATCGAATGCTGGAAATGATCGCTGTTGTTCAATGTGTATTCCTTGAATCTCTGTAGAATGTTCACATTCATACATTCATCTTCCTTTTAGAAAAGAGCGTAAATGTAGAACCTGAAACTGTAAACCCTGGTCCCTGGCTATAGGATTTTCAAGAATGTTCCAGCCTAGGACTTCTTCCAGCTTCTCTTCATGGAACCCTTTGTTCAGTAACAACCCTGTGTGTCTAAATATATTTACAATTGTATGAACAGTTTTTTTGTTTAGATTTATAGCTCCTGAAATTCATGTCAGACTTCTCTTTACTTTTCACTTGGTGCCCTACATGAACATTTGTTTCAGCGAGTAATTTTTGCATACTATTTCAGCATGAATTGATGTTACTCGAATGTTTAATACAGTAGCAACAGGCACATCAAGCATGAGGAAGCTTCATGATAGCTGTTCAAAAATTTGTTGAGAGTGGTTCTTTGAGTTGCTTACATAGACACTGTCAGTATTGAGATTACATTAATGATAGGAAAGTTATGGATGTGGAGGAGTTGGTGGAAAGCAGTTGGCGGGGAAAACTGAAGTTCTTGAAGGAAACCCACTCACCTCAGTGCCACTCTCTCCACCACAAATCACACATGACCTGACCTGGAACCAAACACAGGCCAGTGTCACAGGAAACCAGTGACTAACCTTCATAACTATTTTTCCAGGAATATGATGCATGTAAATTTGTGATTCCATTTGCAGTCTCTGCAGCATATGTGAAATCTTGGTATAGGTTTGTAACATCATGCACTTTGTATCTTAGTGTTGCTTGAGCACATGCCAACTGGGTCTGAAGTATTTCAGTCTGACAGGACATTATCATCTTGCCTCTCAAGACATAGTAATCATGTTTCACAGTTGGCCAGACTGCCTGAGTTTGCTTCTACCTTGTCATAACCCTGAGTAAACTACATAGTTTCAACATGGCTGCAGACATTACAACTTATTTGCCATGCTTAGAAAGCTATAATGACACTGAGCCAAATGAGCCACACACTGAAATAAATTGTTACTGTGGTAAACTTGAATGTGCTCAGTTCCATTTTGAGCTTGGGAATTTTGTGTCACCCATCATTTTTAAATGAAAGGATCAGAGCGTAACCTACAAGGAGCTGTTAGATAGTCAGTCGGATGTCATGTGTCAGTTTCTTAGCGAGTCACTGCACATGACATTCAGAGTTACATTGCACAACAGCTTCATGTTTCCCCCTCTCCAAGCTCTAATAATTGTAGAATTTCCTTTACATTTCCATATTTTCAAAAAAATGAGAAATGCAATTTTCCAAATAAAATCTTGGTAGGTAATCTGCACATAAAAATACACCAAAATCATCCAACCTTACACTGCTGTACAGTACTATCAGATTGTGAGCAAGTTTAATAAACCTTTTGTTTTGTAGATGTGATTTCCATTTCGTTTTGATACACACTTTTATCGCTTTTTGCTGAGATAAGGCAGTCAGTATAGTGACTGACTACAGGCTGGAAGACCAAGGGTCAGAGTTTGAGGCCAGGTGGGGGAAGAATTTTCTCTCTCCATGTCATCCAGACTGGCTCTGGGGCCCACTTAGCCTCCTATCAAATGGGTACCTGGGACCTTTCCCTGGAGGTAAAGCTGGAGCCTGGAACTGACCACTAACCTCCAACTAGTGCCGAGGTCAAGAAAACATGGGTCGATACATCCACTCCTCCATACGTCATCATGGTATAGTGCTTAATTAGTTAAGCAGAGGGACAGCTTTACCTTTACCATATCTCTTTTTACTGAGTACAAAAATATGGTGAGGTCACTTGTATACACAGGACAGTACAACATGACCATCCCTTTCCAAATCTGTGTTTACATATGAGTATGGCCACTTCTATCTCATTCATCACTGAACAACCACTGAAAACTGAAGAACATTCCAGGAATCAGTCATCTCTATCTCTTTGTTCCCAAATATGGAAACATCTTAGGTTATGGTTTATTTAACAGTATTCTCAGTATCTCAGACTGTATAGCATCCAGTGGAAGGCTGATTGGTGAATACTGAATTGGAAAGAATTGAGAAGGAAAAGCGTCGTGGTTTAACTGAGGTACTATCCTGGCATATTACTGCATACCTCAGGTTAGCTATTGTCTGGACTAAGATTTGAACTAGGCACTTGACAATTTCAAGCCAGAAACATCACTGCATAATCTGTTTACAGTTTTTATTCTGATTGTTTTCCCCAGATTCTTACGCCCTTCCTATTACGCCGTGTGAAGGCTGATGTTGCTCTGAACATTCCGCCAAAGAAGGAGTTGCTTGTGTATGCTCCTATGTCACCTGTGCAGCTAGAACTGTACCGAGCCACAGTGGAACATAACTACAAGAAGCTGCAGGGGAAAACTGAGGAGGTGAGACAGATCAAATGCAGCTGTTTGTCTGAATTATCTTATTTCTCTTCTGTTACCTGGTTCAGTGTACAGTGAAACCCAATTTAGGGAGCCCACATTGTTATGTTTTCCCAAATTTTATGAACAATTTTTGTTTTACTCAATTTAAGTGTTTGCCCTCATGTTATGCATGAAACTTGGATACCTATGCACGTTTTGAATGTCGTTTTAATGTTAAAGGGAATTCTTTTGTGCATTTCAACCTGCATGTAGGCACTTCTCAACAGTTCAAGTCATCATGTATACAGCTTGCAGTGCTGCATGTACACATTACTTAAGTAGGCAGCATGTCTGTCTGTGCTCATTCTTTATTTGTCCTCTGTGTTGGCTGGTGCTGTTTCTTGTTTTTGTGTTATGTTTCTGTGTCATGGTTTTTTAAGTGATTTTGAGGTAATGTTTGGCCATGGCATTGAAAACAAAGGAATTCATAATAAACAAGGGGGAGGAAAACAAATGAACTGTGTCATGAAATGAAATTGCAAATAGTTTTATGCTGCCTATGTTATCATTGAATAAGATACTTCTAAGGAAAGCCTCAAATCTTGAGGAGGAAAGTTGCTGTGGGACACATTATCTGAAATTATAAGCTTATTCTATTAAATGAACATGGTTCAGTGTCTTATTATTGATTTATCTAAGTTTAACCTTTAACGGCCGAATGTCACGTATACATGCTGCAAGCAGTAACCAAAGTTGGCCGAATGACCTGTGTACACGTCGCAGGACACATCCTCTCTTTGGGAGTGCTGGCAGTTTGACCTTGGATTGGAAACCAAAACAAACCTACGTGAGGTCATGTCAGTGGTTCATTCCTTAGCTCTCAACAAAGAAATTATTTATCGCGGTACTGGTTTTGATACTATTTACGTTTAGATATGACTGTTTATGACCTGCTCAGCCAAATATAGCCCAGCTTTGTTTCAAGAACTGATGAGGAAATATTTATCGGTGCTTGCATAAGAGCACTTGCAAAGCCTTCAAGGAAGTCTAACGCATTCAAGGACTGGTTTTCAGTGGCGTATTATTAGTCAGGAAGTCAGTGTCGGACTGTCTAATATTTCTTTATCAGTTAGAAAGGCAGTGTCAGACTGTCATATATTTCTTTATATATCATTTTTATTTTACTTCTTGGAAGAGGTATAAACCCACTGAGCCAGTATTACTTTGTGAGTAAAGGCATCTTCACCACTGCGACTTTCAGTATGTGTCGGACTGGCACTCTTTTCGACTAGTATTATACTTACTTTGCATCACTATTTTGCGAATATTACCAACAGGTGAGAGTGTCGCTTTGTCAATCAACATAATTTATTCCATTTTGCTAGAAACCCCCCTCCCCCAAGGCGATTCTTCAATCGCACAACCCGAATATCATGGTCAGTAGCGTTTCTTGGGGGAGGGCCAAATTTATCAGGGGGCCCAACTGAGTCGACTGGATGTGAAACATTCACAACACTGGCCAACCAAAGGGAAACTAAGATGTATTTGTTCTCAGAATAAGAAGCGCAGAAGCACATAAAGTGTCACGTTGCGCTGTGTGGGTTCGGCTGCTTCGAGAATGTTTGACTGCTTCGATAAGTAGTACACGCGCATCGAGTGTGAGTTATCGTAAACTGTGAAGTGACGCAGTTCAAACTCGCGTACAGTCTGAACAAAATATTATTGTACGAGTATATAGTGTGATTATATTTACAATATCACCATGATTCAAGGCTAAAGAATAAACAACGGGTAAGTCCTTTGGAATTTCATGACATATATAATAAAGATTATATTTTGCAATTCATGACAAAATAATCACAGTTAATTTTCATTTGTAAAAATTGCTCTTCTGTGTACATGTAGAAAAATTTATTGTCTTTCAGGTTGTTTTTAGTTTTTATTTCTGTGTTGCATAGAACGGAAAATATGGATTTTTTTCTGACAGTTTGCAAATTTAATTAACCAGGGTGATTTAAATACCGGCCGCAGGGGGCTCCCAGCAGTTTAAAAGCCTGTACGTTAAAGGTTAACAGTCATTTTCGGCTCTGTTTTCCAAAACCCCCATTTAAGTGGAAAAAGCTTGTCCTCTAGACAGGAGTTAAGTTTGGGTTTCACTGCTATAGGCAGGATGACTGGAGAATCAAAGGTTCATTATGTGGCAGGAGAGGAGCTTTTGTCCTTCTGCCCACACTTCCACACCAGGGGTGGAGTGGCAAGAGTGTGATGCTGATCACTCACCTCCATCTAGTGCCAGGTGTTAAGAAAGACTGGAGGTATTCCTCCACGAGAATGCCAATACATGGCTGAGTGCCTGAGAAAACTTTGTTGCATTTACTTGCCGTTAGAGCTTCAAATCTTGTGTGTTTTCTTCAACTTCAGTTTGTGATTTGAACTTTGATGTCAGTGATTATTTTTGTACTGATGTTCATGTCCTGACCGCAGTTGCAAGTGTCGAGCCTTGGATTCTCAGTTTATACTTCAGAGACAACAATTTTAGGAAGGAATTTAATTGAATTTATGAGTGGATGAGGGGCAGACCACAGTTTGCAGCTACCCATTTAAATCAAGTTGTTGTCACAGACCTCTAAAACCATTTGAGTCATTTACACATCAACTTCTGGGATGTCCTGTAAAAGATTGGTACATATCTACCAAACATGCCACCACACCCAACAAAGACTGAAATCTTAATATTCACTGCCATGATAACCTCAGATGACATGAGTGACTCATCATCATGATGTGTATCTCAAGAGGGGAGCCACTGTCTTTAATATTGTGGCTCCAAGTGAATAAATTGTGTCAGCGTGCAACAGTTAGATCTAAAATTGCACAAATTTGTATTACTAGAGATACAAATTGTCAAGTGTTCCTACACTGCATGAATGTAAGTTATGAAGCAGATCATGAATGAGTGAACAGTCTTTTCTTTTTCTTCTTTGTGCCATGTCTGTTCTGTAAATACCAATAATATTTATGTGTGGATGGGAAGTGTAGTTAGTATCTATCATGGAATGTGACTTGGTGTATGAAGATTTGGAAGGTTTCTTTCCTTCTCAGAATGTGCACGTAGATATCCATATAAACCAGTGTCAAGAGCTCTAATCTGAAACTCACAGGGTAACTTCATGGGCCTTGTGGGTAGCATGGTGGCAGTACACATACATGAATGCTTGAATTCACATCTTCATGAATAGTACAAGAAATATCTCATTGAACTGTCCATACATGTCTACTGTTGGCTTCAAGCATATTCATCAATGAAACAGCACAGTTTTTTGTGGTGTTTATATATGTCTGATGCCATTAGCTGCCTCGATAGTGGACCCTACTAGGAAAGATATCAGAAATGTTATTTTAAGCTGTCTATCGGGATGGTTAAGAACTTCTTCACTGATATGGTCAACATCATTATCTTTTAATGGAATCAATTACACATGTACTCTTTCCCACTGTTTAATTAATTAGTGATCCAGTGTCTGTAGGTGCTTTCTTCATCTTCAGGTTTAAAGATTAAGCCAAACAAGCAACCAGCAGTGCTGCTTTCTTTTTGCTGGTTGCTTGCTACTCTTACCTTTTAAACCTGAAGATGTAGGCAGTATGTTCCCCCAAAATACTGTTGAAGTTCTACCAGACTATGTGGTGTCGCATCCCACAAGGTAGTGCTCATAATCACTGCTGTGAAAACCTGGAATCCAACATCTCACCATGTTGAAACTGGGTAAACACAGCGAGTTTATTTCAAGTGTTATTTCTTGATTGTGACTCCAAATGTCCCATGAAAACTTTGATGTTCATAACTGCAGGCATTTATTTATCCAGGGATAATAAAGTGCATCTAGTACCACTCAAATCTAAAAAATATTGTATAATTGTTTTTGGTGACTGTTACATGCTGATAATCATGGTGAGTTAATGCATTCAAACGTGATTTCGCCAGTCACACGTTGAACTGGATTCTCATTCCTAACCAGCAGTTTGTGTATTGTCAAGACCTTAAATATAATGGGAAATAATTTGGAGGGATGAATGCAGAAGTATGTGGAACTACAAATTTAATGCAGTGTATTAAATTGCATTCCTTTTAGTGTTTTGTTTCCAGTTTATTTTTGTATTTAATGTTGTATTATTTTAGAGTGTTGTCATTCCTGACCGGCAAGATGGTAAACGTGCAAAGCGGAAGTGCAGTGCTCAAAAAAATTATTCATTTGACCTAATGGAAAAATTTGATGAATTTGATGAGCATTCAAACTCAAGGTAAGTCAAAAACATCTGGACTGGCAGATTTTATATGCTGAACATTACAGAAACAAATTGTAAGTCACTTGGGTCCATTTTGAGTGCAAAACTTCTCCATTCCTATCTCACTATACAGTTTCACGAGTTTTAAAATGTTGTGGGTATGTATTTTGTGTTTTGGGTATTTAAACATGTCATTTATTGCAAATAACTTATATAGAGACTCTAGAGCTATCCTGAGACTGAAAAGTAAGGTCATTATTTTAGACATAAGTGAGTAACATAGTTTGTAAATGTAAAATGGCTGCACAATAAAAATTGTCTTTAATCACAGCTGAAATAGCTTCTATAAATAACTTAAATTGTTTATTGGTAATATCAAGAATAACCATAAATTTATTTCAGAATTACTGTGATTTTGGACTTTGTTCATTATCCAATATTGTAAAAACTAGAGAACACGTTTCGGAAACTGGATCTGTTTCCATCCTCAGGTGAGGGGGAGACACCTACCCTGTTGGGTTGAGGTTATCTCTTTCTAAGGGAAACCAACAGAGTAGATGTCTCCCGCCTCACCTGATGATGGAAACAGCTCCAGTTTCCAAAATGTTGTGTGCTCTAGGTTTTAGAATACTGGTTGATGGGCAAAGTCCAAAAACCCAGTAATTCTGAGTGTTATACACCATCATCAGAAGCCTTTAGAATCTACAAATTTATTTATTCAAGGCTGAAATATCAACTGTGAAACGTTTATTACAGTAAAAGAAAACATTTTATATTTACTCAATTTTCAGCTCAGATTGTAATATCATAATAAAAGACAAAGAAGATGAGAGTTACAAAATCATGTTAAAAATGGTACATCCCATGATGCAGCTACGTAAGATTGTCAATCACCCATATTTGGTGCACTTTCCACTTGTGCCAGGAAAGAATGAGCTCAAAGTTGATGAAGAGCTAGTCAACAGATCAGGAAAACTTCTGGTTCTTGATGCTATGTTGGTGAAATTGAAACAAAGAGGACATAAGGTACGCTGATTTTCTCTGTTATTAATATATTAATGTCTCCACTCAACTGTTGTTTTCCTAAGTATATAGGATATTCAATAAGTAACACCCAGAGTGTTAGGCCTGAAGTTCTCATGGTGGCAAGTGTCAAGATTACAGTCTTATGGGATGTGATAGTGGGTACCAACATTTCAGATAAACCTGCTGCTTCCATCTACAGGGCAGAAGAGTAACCTACTCTGAAGATGGGGACAGCAGATTTTTCTGCAGAATAGGTACCTATCTACCAAACTACACAGCATTACATCTCAGAAGATCTTGATCTTGATCCAAAGGTATGCTACACATGTATGTAGTATCTTGACATGGATGTCAGAGACAAGGACTAACAGACAGAACCTCCCTGTCTCCTCATTATCCAGACCAAATGAGGCATTTGTCCAAGTGATACACCACATGTTCAGTTTCCCAGAGAAGAAACATAGGATTAGTGTTTGTACCCACTAGCACAGCTTGACTTTCATCTCATCGTTATGTCAGATGGTTGTGTTCCAAAATACCTGATCCGTGACCCACAGAAGTGGAAGTGCTAGGTGCAAGAAATGGGCCACACAGCCCCAGCAGTCTGCAGGGAAGCTGTTGGTGACATTTTTGGATATACAGGGCATTCTCATTCAGTTCCAAGTTCCAATTGCACAACACTCCAGCACCTGAAGGAAACAATCCAGATGAAGCAGACACTGGACCCTGAACATGACATAGTGTATGAAGATTTGGAAGGTTTCTTTCCTTTTCATAATGTGCACAAAGATATGCATATAAACCAGTGTCAAGAGCTCTAATCTGAAACTCACAGGGTAACTTCATGGGCCTTGTGGGTAGCATGGTGGCAGTACACATACATGAATGCTTGAATTCACATCTTCGTGAATAGCACAAGAAATATCTCATTGAACACTCCATACATGCCTACTGTTGGCTTCAAGCATATTCATCAATGAAACAGCACAGTCGTTTGTGGTGTTTATATATGTCTGATGCCATTAGCTGCCTTGATAGTGGACCCTACTAGGAAATATATCAGAAATGTTATTTTAATCTGTCTATCAGAATGGTTAAGAACTTCTTCACTGATATGGTCAACATCAATATTTCTTAACGGAATTAATTACACATGTACTATTTCCATATGTTTAATTAATTAGTGATCCAGTGCCCATAAGTTATTCTTGAATAGCAACAGTGCTGTAACACAAATATGCATGAATCGCTTCACCCTTTATTATATTAGTACTTTAAAATAATTCCATTCTAAGGTTTATTCATATATCTTATAAAGAATGTCTTTTTCAGGAATCCTGTAAGCTATAACAAGTACAATTGCTGTATATGTATTTTCAGTTTGCTGTTGATTTCAGCAGGCCATTCTCTTGAGTGTGTGTATGTTTGTGTGATGGAAGGAAGGTTGAATGGATGGACGGAGAGAAACAAGTAAAGAGTCTTTGTCATGTTACAAAATTGCCTGTATTTTATGTTTTTTTCTGTAATCATAAACCTTGAACATAAGCAGCCATGTCATCACCTTGCAGATTCTCCTGTTCTCGACCTTTACATCCCTGCTAGACCTATTAGAGGACTATTTACTCATGCGGAATTATAAGTATGTCCGTTTGGATGGGTCTACCAAGGTTGGGGACCGGCAGGAACGGATCAGGGCATTCAATACTGATGCAAGCCTCTTCATATTTCTCATCTCGACTCGTGCTGGTGGACTTGGAATCAATCTTACGTCTGCTGATACTGTCATTATTTATGACAGTGATTGGGTACGTTCCGCTGCTCATTCACTGCACATGGTGTGTGAAGTGAATGTATATAGGGAGGATTGTTCACAAATTTTATCTTAAAAACTGAACAGATTTAATTGAAATATAGTACATGGAGTGTTCACTAAACATCAGAGGCATTTAAATTTTGTCTGTCATAGCACCTAGTTTAGTGAGTCCTTAGAAACATCTCACCATACAAAGAATTGACACATGACATGAAATGCTGTAAATTATAAACTTCAGTAATATCTACAGCATGTTTTTATAAGATTTCTTGATGTGATGAACATTTGACCCTTCCTCATCTACTGTCAGAAGGTTTCCCATACAGTTCTATCGGCTGAAGCCTTCTGCCACCTGTTTTTCTAATTCTTTGCATTACAACAAATGTTACCAAGGAGTGAGTACCATATTTTACCTGACTATACAGTGAGTTTATTTTTCTTGAGCTTATTTTCATGAATGAAGAAAAATCTATGTATCTCTCTATCTGTGGCTCTACAGCTCTTGTGGACATTGGCTAGCTTTTCACTTTCTTAATCTACACACATTTGTTAAGATTCCTTGGATGGGGGACCAGCCTGTCTCAAGCCTGCTAACAACACAGACAGAGTAAACACACACAGACATCCATACCTCAAGTGGGATTCATACCCACAATCCCAGTGTTCAAGCGGGTGAAGACGGTTCATGTCTTACAGTGTATGGTCACTGTGATCGGCATGAAGAAAAATACTGTAACGTTTTATCGTTATTTACAATGGTAACTCTCGCACAATCAGTAGCCACTTGTGATACTATGGACACTTATTATTTTGTCATAATGCTACTACTCAGCCATTCCACTCTCCTCTGCCTTCGTCTTCTCTCACCACTGCACTGAATACTCTGTGCTGTACTCGCTTGCTTCTCGCCTCCTACAACCAGGACTCCTAGAACCATCCCAGCCACTATCCAGGCGCGATCACACTTCAAGAAGTTTACAGACAATTCTTGGGCAACTTCAGCTATCGGTGTCAGCTGAGTGGCTCTTGAACATTCCCGAAGGACAGGAGTTTTGACAGTTTGATTGAATGAGAGATGTGCACAGGTTGACATATGACACCCATGCGCACACAAACACATCACCTCATGTGACAATATATAAAAGAAAATCAAACACAATTAAGTTACCTCTGGTCAAAACCTGCACACACATAAAGCATATATTTCTGAAACAATAATCATTGGACTTTGTTACCATTATCACTGTACTTGCATTCAGTTTCATATATTTCTGCGATTTTTCAAGCCATTAGATTATACGTTTCATCATGGTGCTGTGTTTATCATATGTCATTCCATATTTCCAGTATTTGATCTGTAGAGGCTCATGACATTCTGAGCTCCAAATTTCATGTCCAGTTTCTGTTGGATATATCATTCCAAAGAATCCACCAAGTACAAATCCATCTGTAATAATCTGTAAATACTGGCTTCTTACAGTGAAGGGTTACTAATTCCTTGCCCAACACTTGAGCCAGAGAGCCTGTCCTTGATGGTATTCACTTCAAAGATGTCTGTTTTTTTTAAATAGTGTATGGCAGTGGTTCTCAAACTGTGGGGCGCGACCCCGGGGGGGGGGGCGAAGGGCTTGAAAGGGGGCGCACCATACTTTCCTACAGATAAAAATTAAAACTGCCCTAAATCAATTAGAAAAGTAACAAAAAATAGAAATACGTATAGAAAAACTTTTGATGAGTACAGGCTTTAATTATCATGAATTTCAAAACATCTGTACTTTCCTACAGATAAAAATTTAAAACTGCCCTAAATCTATTAGAAAAGTAACAGAAAATAGAAATACATATAGAAAAACTTTGAGTACAGGCTTTAATTATCATGAATTTCAAAATAACTAATAATCATTCTCTTTACCGGAAATTATAAAACGTGTATGCCAGAGACAGCGTTGATAGTTCGGCAGTCTAGACTTTTTAAAATGCTGTGTGAGGAATTGGGTGCCAAACACACTGCTCTGTTGTTTTTAGTGATGCTCGATGGCTTTCAAGAGGCAAGGTATTAAAGAGAATGTTTTAGCTGAGGCACGAGGTGTTTTGTTTTTTAAATGGGGAAAATCACTCACTGGTAGACAGTTTCAGCAACAAGGATTTTTTATTGAAAATAGCTTGCCTCACAGATATATTTGAGAAACTAAATATCCTCAACACTTCACTTCAAGGGAATGAGGCAACTGAACTTTCTTGGAATAACAAAGTGAAGGCATTGAATTGAATTTATTTACATTCTATAAATCCTAAGTAGGTTAGTACCTTTGGATACAGAACAAGTCAAAAGGTTACATACATAAGTACAGGCAATTTTAGCTTAAAAATTAATATAACTTAATTTTACATCATTCTCTATTTACATTGAAGTATTCATCTAAAGAGTAGAAGGAATGAGCATGTAGATAATTCTTTAACTCTGATTTAAACTTTT